CAAACAGCATGTATATATGTGTGTGTGTGTGTGTGTCTTTGTTTTGAATTGTATGTGTGTGCGTGTGTGTGTCACGTTTTATCCTGGCTATTTTCAATATTATGTCCCTTTGATTCATAAACAGCTAATTATTATTTTATTATTTATTATATGATTTAATCGATAAATTTATATTTATGCCTTATCTATATACAAATATATATGTGTGTATGTATATATTTGTACATGTATATCTATATATTTACATGTTTGTTTTTGAGTCCTTTAAATGTTATCTGTAGTTGTTAGTTTGCTTTTTGAAAAAGATATTAAATATGCTCAGCCCTGCCCTGCCCTGACCCGCCCCGTCCCCCCTTGACATCGACCGGCGTCCAGTGCTCACCGCTGTCCGCCCACTCGTCCACTCCGCCTCAGCCCTGTCCATCCCCGTCTCGCCTGGCCTTGCCTTGCTTTGCCTGTTGAGCTTGCAATGCTTTTCTCTTATACTTAACCTAACAGCTCTTCTACACACATACACACGCATACATACATATATGTGCATACGTATCAAGCTCTTCTACGCATATATACGTACGTATGTGCAGCTTAATGGTTGTGCTGCTTTTTCTATCACTTATAATTTTTTTTCTTCCCACTTTTGTCTGTCCCTTTCCCCCTTTGCGTTGTCGCTCGAATGGTTTTTATTTTTTACAGTTACAAATATGCGAAACGTTTAATACAACTAGTTAAATTTGCTGTGTCATTCAATCAGCTGCGTCTTATCGCAATGTGTCAGCTACTTAATTACAAACACAAAAGCCATAGAACCCAAATGAGTGATACACGACTACAAACATACACTGTCACACACACATATGCATATGTGTGGTCGTATGTATATCATGCAATGAGTCGCGCTCAGGTTTCTATTAATATCCAGTTAATTTCGCTGTAAGTGAAATACAATATCCAAAAATATTTAACAATAGCGACAACAGGCAACATTTACGAAGTGAGAATTCTCTAAAAATAAAATTGTTTAAATTTTCTGTGTATTTATGTATGTTTACATACATACATATACATGTGTCTGTGTGTGTTTGGTTTGCGATCATGATGTGGTCCTTACACACACATGACAATTGCATTGGTAGTTAACACAATTCATCCGCTTGAAGCTGGCATTTCGCGCTCTGCCAGACATTTAAAAAGTTAACAATCGAAACCCGATAAATTGCATCGATATCCATGCTTTCGCTTTCATTTTCGCCCTCTCTCTCTCTCTCTCTTTCTCTGTCTCGCACACACACACACACTCGACGCCTGAGTTGAGCGTTGCCCACTCTCAAAATCTCAGTATTTTTTTAAATATATTTTCTGTTTATTTTTTTTTTCTTTTAGACTAAACATAAACATATTTATTATAATTTTCTCTTTTTTTTTTGTTTACTGTTAACAGACATACATACGTATTTAGCTTAGTTTAGCTTAGGCTAAGGGCTACTGCTATATACTTGATTAAGCAGTTACTGTAATTTACACACATCTCTTTCTAAATATATATATATAATATATAACGATCATAATTGCAGGCTTATAGCGTCGGTCTATTACGTTCTGACTATTTGGCTCACGTGTACGAGGGCTGTGCAATAAAGCAGGTTGAAATCAACACGATTGCCTCCAGTTTCGGTGGCATTGCTACACACTTGGTGCCTCTGCAAAAGTATTATGCGCTCTTCTCTCTCTCTCTCTCTCTCTCTCACTCTCTCTCTCTCTCACACACACACACATACACATACACACTCTTTCTCAATTTTCTTTCTCATGTACAATTCACATTCTTTTAAATATTAAATTTACACCTTTTTTTTATAGTATAGTCTAAATTGAGAGCTTGTTTCAAATTACCAACTGCAGAATTTGAGACGGGTTTGAGTGTATTTACACACCCACACGCACACACACACACACACATAATAATATATACTAAGTTGCACGCACTTCAGTACCAACTCCAACCGCCCACTCATCTGTAATTACAAACCATTTAAAGGTCGCGCCCACTCATCAAAACTATTATAAATGGCATGCACTTGCACTCTCCCTCTCCCCTCTCGCTCTTTTCTCTCTCTCTCACCAACTCTCTCCCTCTCTCTCTCTCTCTCTCTCTCTGTCGCTCTCGCTCATTCGTTGAACTTACTCCCTTTACTCTCCCTCCCAATCTTAACACGATCTCCCACACAAACGCACTGCTGTTGTCTCTTTTACTCACTCGCACACACACACACACGCACAACCAATGTTTGGCTTTTGGTTATGGCTTTAACTTGAGCTTTGAATTGCTATTCCAATTCCAATTCCGTTTCCGATTCCTCAACTTAACCCCCCACACCCCGAACCGTAACACCCGCTCTAAATATATATTTTGTTTTTGCTTGCTAAACTTACTACTCCTATTGTAAATAATCCCCACCCCCACCCACCTACCCCCTCTAACTAATCTAACTACTAACAAATAATATTTTTTCGTTTGTTTGTTATTGTAACATCCTTGTTTTGAATTAGATTTAGATAATTCTTTTTGTTATTTTTTTTTTTTTTAATTTGTTGCTAAGCGTAAAAGTTTTGCTAATCTTGCGTTTTCTCTTTGAATGCCGCACCCACCCTCCCTCAAACTGTCAACAGCTTCGTCCTGCGAGAACTTGGACATGCTGAGAAATTGAAGCAAGTGAGTCTTATACATCTTATACTCTCAACTATCTCTTATACACACACACACACACTCTCTCTCTCTCTCTCTCTCTCTCTGTGTCTCTCTCTGTCGCTCACTTTAGATGCCGAAGAACGAAGCCTTGGCAGGTCTCTGCGATGGTATGGTCAAAGCCTGGAATATCTATGCCAAGCCCAAGTCAGTCATTCTGTTCATCATTGAGGACATCTCGTATAACATTTGTGATCAGCGTTTCCACGAGTTCTACATCCGTGAGACCTATCCGCACATCAAAGTGCTACGTCGCACCCTCACCGAGGTGCACAAGGAGGGCAAGTTGGGCCAGAACAAGGAGTTGCTGCTGTGCGTATAAACTCTCCATGAGAACATGCCTCAATATAACTCTATCTCTCAATCTCTTTCTCTATCAGCGGCAACACTGAAGTGGCCGTCATCTATTTCCGTGCCGGTTACGAGCCGGGTCACTATCCCACGCAGGGTGAATGGGATGCTAGATACCTGATGGAGACCTCGCTGGCTATTAAATGTCCATCGATTCAATATCATTTGGCCGGAACTAAGAAGGTGCAGCAGGCACTGGCACAGCCAGCGGTGCTGGAGCGTTTCATCAACGATCCGGAGGAGATGAAGGCTGTCGGCAAAATCTTTACCGGCCTCTATTCGATGGACGACAATGAGGTGGGCAATGCCAACTATGAGATGGCCATGCGGACGCCAGAGAAGTTTGTGCTGAAGCCACAGCGCGAAGGCGGCGGCAACAATGTTTACGGCTTGGACATTCCCGATGCTCTGAAGGTGAGCTAAGCATGCGAACTGTGCAGCTAGATATACTCTAAACAATATATTCCTCTAATCACAGCGCATGTCGCGAGTGGAGCGTTCTGCTTGGATCTTGATGGACTTGATACATCCGCCGCTGTCGCAGGGCTACATGATACGACCTGGCAGCGATGTGCCGCCCCAGATTGTAGACATGGTCTCCGAGCTGGGCATCTTCGGCGTCATCATTGGCGATGCGGATCACATTATCCACAACTATCAGGCGGGTCACATGCTGCGCACGAAACTATCCACTGCCAACGAGGGAGGCGTGGCCGCTGGCCTGGGCGCCCTCGACAGTCCATACTTGATAGACTCCGACGATGAGGATTAATGCTACTAACTCTGCCTGCCCGCCACTTTGCCTATTTGCTCCAAGTACTTAACAATTGTATAAAAGATATTCTCCTACTTTTCTTCCCACTCCCACAAACTATTTTTGTAATGCGCGTAGAGCTGTAATTGGTGCAATAAATTCCACTGTAAATACGAGAGTCGAAAGTTCATTTATCAAAATTATATTCAATTTCACTAGTCTATAAATTTGAATTTTCGGAATGCCTGAATGAACAATACAAGTAGCACCAATCGTGGATGAGCAGTCCGGCCATTTAGTTTATTATCGCACCATCTTTCTGTAGGTGGCGTCCATTAGTCGATCTACCAGGCTATCGATGGGATGCACTATCAATGGGATGCTGATCAATCCGATTAGTGTAGGCAACGTCTTCACCACGAAACTGGGTGACTTCTTCAACAGCGTTTTGCTGACTGCAGTGATGCTATACGGTGTGTGGAGATTAGATAAGGGCTTATTAGTGTCGCATATATAGTGGACAGATAGGGGAGTACGGCTATTACCGATTGATGGTCAATCCAGGTATTATAACTGATGCAAACATTTGCCAAGTGAACACATCGGCGCCCACTAGCGCCACCTGGCGATCGGTACCGCCGGCCATTTGATGGCGCAACGCCTTGTCAAAGGTATCAGTGCAGACATAGCCAATGGCCATACCATAGGAGGCAGCAACTATTGATTTGGGCAACAGCGGACGAAATGCCTCGCCCACCTCGTTGCTGTAGCCTGCAAGAATGGAATGAATAGAGATACATATATGCAACTGTATATGTGGCGGGCAACTCTTACCCATATAACGTAAGAAGGTATCACGATAAATATCCACTTCTTTTGTCTGTAGTTGTTTGTGCATCTGCTCTTCCAGTTTCTCATCGAGCGGCTGCATTGTTGATTTGGTTTCCACGGTTGGTTCCGGATCAGTCATAATGTGAGTTTATTTTGTTGCGTAACAAATAATACAATTTCAATTAAAACATTTAAAATTTCTATCCTTTGAGTATATTGTCGTTTTTAGCAGTCTGGCAGCTCTATGTATTTGACATCTCTAACTGACTAGACGGGCTATGAATAATCGATTATTAATCGAACTACCACCAATAACTATCGTCAAAACGTTCAGCGTAATATCGTGGTTCATTTCTTAGTCGTGTCCGTGCGTGCAAGTGGTTTGTAAAAATAAAAAAGGTTTAGGAAACTACCGGATTTATATGAGGTAAGTCGCGAAATTCGTGTATATGAGTTTGTCTAGTGAATAGCATTGGTGACAGCGGCAAATCTAGAATACTAGCAAGTGACGCGCGCGCGGCAAAAAATTCAGCCTATTAAAACCGCAAACAAACACAAGCAAACACACGCTCACACACACACACTCACAGCGAGACGAATGCAGATGATGCAAAAACACAAACAATGGTCGAAACCATTATTTTTTAAGCGGAATTTCATATGAAATTGTCAATGCACATATTTTATTTATTTAATTGCTAAATACTTGTATTGATTCTATTCTAGCAGCCTGGCAACCGCGACGATTGCTGTTGACTTCAGTTGCTCTTGTTCTCTGCTGTTGTTCTTGTTGCTGTTGGTATCGCCGCTGCTACTGCTGCTTTCGTCGTCATCCACTTCCCTGCCCGGTTGTTATGTCGGACTACAGCGACTTAGATCGCCAGATCGAGCAGCTTAAACGCTGTGAGATCATTAAAGAGAACGAGGTGAAAGGATTGTGCGCTAAGGCGCGCGAAATCCTTGTCGAGGAGGGCAACGTACAACGCGTCGATTCGCCGGTAACTGTGTGTGGTGACATCCACGGGCAGTTCTACGACCTGAAGGAGCTCTTCAAAGTGGGGGGCGATGTGCCCGAGAAGAACTATCTGTTTATGGGCGACTTTGTGGATCGAGGTTATTACAGTGTTGAGACATTCCTGCTGCTGTTGGCATTGAAGGTTCGGTATCCGGATCGAATCACGCTAATACGGGGCAATCACGAATCTCGACAGATAACCCAGGTGTATGGCTTCTACGATGAGTGCCTGCGTAAATATGGATCGACTGCTGTTTGGCGATATTGCACAGAGATATTTGACTACCTCAGCCTCTCCGCCATCATCGATGGAAAAATCTTTTGCGTACATGGCGGCCTCTCACCCTCTATTCAGTATTTAGACCAGATACGAAGCATCGATCGCAAGCAGGAGGTGCCGCACGATGGTCCTATGTGCGATCTGCTGTGGAGCGATCCCGAGGATCAGACCGGATGGGGTGTATCGCCGCGCGGCGCCGGCTATCTCTTTGGCTCTGATGTCGTCTCACAATTCAACCGCACCAATGAAATCGACATGATCTGTCGTGCACATCAGCTGGTCATGGAAGGCTTTAAATGGCATTTCAATGAAACAGTACTCACGGTTTGGTCGGCACCCAACTATTGCTATCGGTAAGCCATTATCTGTCGCTCTTTGACTTGCAGTTGTTTTTAATATACTCTCCCACCCATTGCTCATTAGCTGCGGGAATGTGGCAGCCATATTGGAATTAAACGAGTACCTGCATCGCGACTTTGTCATCTTTGAGGCGGCACCGCAGGAGAGCCGCGGCATACCATCCAAAAAACCTCAAGCGGACTACTTCCTTTAAACTATTAAATATGGAAACTAAGGCAAGCTCACTCACTCAAACGAGTTGCAAACTGACAAAGCATTAAAAACTGCCTAATTCTATGGAAAAACAAAACAAACCTGAGAAGGAAAAGTCAAAGGGAAAACAAAAAGAAATTAATCGATTGTAGTAAAACATTTTTGAAATAGGAAAGTGAAACATTTAACATTAAATTTTTAACATTAAAATTCCGAATCCATCTACTGGACTATGAACAAACCCTTCCTATGTCCATATATATTTATATATATATATATATGTATATGTATATCCAGGATATGAAATTTTCTAAACATATATATATATATACATATGTATATATCTATATATATCTCACGTGCTTTGTACTATCGTCTATTTGTTGTCATGAATTAGCTCATATATTATTGGAAACTTGAGCACAGTCCCCGTATGACACCCCCTACCTCACCCTTTCCCTTCCTATCCCGAATCCAACTATCCTTACTAGCATTTAGTTTAATAAGCACATAGACATACATATACATATATACATATAAACGATGCATTAGTGTGGCTCGTGAGTCAGGCAAGACATCCAGGCATCCAATCGAAATCGCAACAACAACAGCAAGAAAGTGCATTGTATTAAAAATGATTAGAATGTAAGCTGGAAATCCTAAAAGCGTGTAAACTAATTTCTACGTTTACTCACGTTTTTTTCATAACACAATCGACATATATAAAATTAAGCAAAATATTATAATAAATAGAATATGTAAGGTAGTTTGTATTTATAAACAAATCAAATGCATTTCTTTTATTGGGGCCTAAAAGGATTCGAAACATTGCAATAGCAAAAACCCAAAAAGTAGTCGGGAGTGCCCGACTAGGAGATAACGAGATGGTATTGAAATACGCTTGAAAAATGGACAGTTCTTTTAGCCTTTAGTCTCATAGTATCATATCATACCTTCAAATGGAAAATACATTGTATTGAGTCATATTCCTTTAACAGTTCTTAACTCGAAGACTCTACAACTCTACTCTATTAGAATTTATCAAGGAAGCCATAGATTATGATTGTGATTACCTTGTATAGAGCTATTACCCTAGGACTTCTAAGTCTAAAGTCTTTGGTATTATATATAAACATATAAGGGAAATTTTTAACAATAATACTAACTGTACCAGTTTGTATTTCTGAGAATCTTACATAAAGTAAAAAAAAAAAGTAAAGTAGCATGTTTTCTTGACATTTTATACAAGCAGTATACAAGCTAAGGTTTACTATAGAGCTCATTATTCTCGGGATTTGTAAGTATAAACACTCTCGGATCATTTACTTCACAAAAACAATTATAAATTGAACTGCAGTTGGCGCAATTTATTTACATGCACTTAGGAACTAGAGGTATATATAGAGTAGTATATATAGATGTATATATATATATTTTTTTTAAATTATGATATTATTTAAAAAAAAAAAAAACAGAGTCGTGTATCATATAGCATGGGAGGCGCTTGCATCATTCCATTCCATATTTCCAGCTTGTTTTGGGGTTACTCCAGGGCCAAGCCATGCTCGTGCATGTGATCAATGATGCACTTCTCGTAGGCGGCAGCAGCGTCGCAGCTGAAACGGAGATAGGGACAAAGTGGATGACAAAGATTAGCTTGGAGCTTCGTCAGTTATATCTGGGCAACTCACTGATCCTCGGGCACTTCGATGCCCTCACACTTGTCGACAATCTCAGCGGCAGCGGCTTCCTTTTCAGCATCATCCTTGCTGCTCAGCTTGACCATCTCCAAAGCGTTTTCCTTGCTCAACTTGCCCTCGTCGTTCATCTGCAAGGAGTTTAAATCATGATGTGAATAGCTTCGGCAGCTGGCTTTCGATTCTACTTACAATCTCGAACTTCTTCAGCATACAGGCGCGCAGGCATTTGCTCTCATGTGAATCGGCTGGCTCATGCTGCATCATGTGCTCCACATCCTCTGCAATAGAAGGGTTTAGTCAATGTTTGACCAGTGGGTTCAACTATGAACAGACCATCTGTGGCGCCCGACTCCGTTTTGCACTCCTCGGCTACCTCGGCAATGTGCTCCTTGTCGTAATCCTCGTGCGGCTTGCAGGATACGGCCACAGCTGCCAGGAGCACAAGCACTGAAAGGCAAACGAAACGCGACATGTTTAATGCTCTACACGATTACAACTTGGATACGAACAGCAAGTGACTGCAGCATTTTATAGACGATTCTGTGAATCTGTGATTTGACTTGGCTGATTGTCAGACAAGCGACGTCTCCAGCTCTCGGCCAGGTGTCAGCTAATAGCAATTAAACAGCAATTATTGCCAATTTGCTGTGGGATGCAGTTGCACTATATGAGCAGCACATGACACTCGAATCTGGACGGGCAAACGCCGGAGATGCCCTCCGCTGGGCGACGTGGGAAAATCCGCTGAAGCAACGTCTCATTCCACTCCATCGTTATCTATTGCTCTCTCACTCCCTCTCCTTGAATTAATATATAATTAAGTGTTTAATTGGTAACTGACATGAAATCGAATCGCACTGCAAATTCGACTTGCAAAACAAATCAAATAAATATTCCCCACTGGAAGGCGCTCAACACCTATAATATGATGGACAGAGATAGCAATAGCGACCGCGAAAGTTGACATGAGCTGGATCATCAATTCGACTTTTCACAACGTCCAATCAAAACTTCTTCTGCGTCACTCGACTGCCGAATACTCTGCAAATATTGAATGATATAATAATTAGGTAAATATGTACATACATATATTTATATTGCCAAACGTTTACATCTCTTTCCAGTGCACCCAAAACGTAACGTTTGTAGATATGCATACATATGCATGTACATCCATATGCATGAGTGTGAGCGAAAGAGAGTGCAATGGAGAAGTCAAAGCTAAACAGTTGAATTGCAAATAATTGGAAATGCACGCAGCCGCCATATGTATGTACATACATACATATGTACATACATATGTATGTATTTTCACATAGAGTAAGCACTAAATTTATTATTCGTACCCCCTAAAGTTTTTTTCTCTGAAAATTGGCATAGGCTGCTTATTGAGTCAATTCAATCTTAATTATAACTTACATATCTTGAAATAACAATTAGCAAATTACAGCAAAATTATTCATAGAAAATTAAATCGTTATTAAAGTGCTGTCATCTAGTAGCTTCTTGAATTTTAAAATAAATTGTCAGCTTATTTAATTGAACTGAATTACATACATACTTACATATTTATATGTACATTTATTATTATAAATACATACATAAATATGTACATATGTAGTACTATATGTATATACTATGTGTATTGTACGTATGTATGTATGTATGTATCTGCAAAACAGAAGTTTCGCATAATACTCACATATGTATGTACATATGGTTGCACGTACACAGGTATGTATATATGTATGTAATTACATATATTCATATATGTACATGTATCTATTTATGTTGGGTAAACCATACACGCATTTATGATATTTCTCTTTTATTCGCTTTGTCATACCATTGCATCTCATGACTCAGTCTTTCCTTTTCCACCCCGTGCATACAAAAAACTGCAAACAGTTAGTTCGCTAAGCCGGCATAATTTCACCATTGCAATAGTGTGCGGTGTGTTAGGCCTTTATGTATGAATGTGTGAGCATAAAATAGTCGAAGAAGAATAAGCAGCTACCGTTATAATTTTGCAACTCTGGTGACTGCCAACTGTTGCTTTACGCATACAACGTTATTTGTCTGCGCAATGCACTCATTCGTGGAAATGAAAATGGAAGGAATAAGTATACACATACATACATACATAATTGTACATATACATATGCATATGAATGCATGTACGTAATATAGAATTCGCCTGAATAGTTATTCTGACATTAACACTGCAGTCGAAATGATTTCAAATACATTTGCAATACTGCATGTGTGTGCGTGTGTGTGTGCATATGAATTATTGTTGATTTGCGTGCTTTAAAAATGGTTTATTTGTTATTTGCAATGACAATGAAAATGATGAATCTTGAACTTCACCATGTCGTAGCTATGACGGCGTCAGCGAAATGGCCACGCACAAGTCGAGGTCGAAAATGAAGTCAAGGTCACGTTGTCTGCCAAGAGTAAATATACAGTATAAAAGCGAATGCTGCGAAATTGGCCAGCAACAAATTGAATCGCAAGATCATGCATAGTACATTGCTCTCACTGCTTGCGCTGGCCAGCGGCATTTGGGTGCAGTGCAGCATGGCGGAGCCACAGATCAAGGGACAGCAGCTGCCACAGTTCGACTTGACGCGTTTGTTTGGTGGCCGCAGCAGCGTGCCTCTGGTGACGCTGCTCGATCGCAACCTGCCCGAGGTGCAGCAGATGATTGACCGCACGAAGAAGAGTTGCCTGCAGAAGCTGCGAATGCCGGCTGTGCAGCGTTCGTTAATCCGAGAACCGAATCCCACCGAGCAGGAGAAATGCCTACTCGAGTGCGTCCTGAAGGGCATCCAAATTGTAAGCGAATGGCTGACCATATGGAAATAGTCTAACTCGCGTCTCTCTTTTCCAGATGGATGACAGCACCAACAAGCTGAATCTGCGCCGTGTCGAGCAGCTGACCAGCCTGGTCACCGAGGACAACAAGGTGGCCATGGCACTGAGCAGCAGCCTCGCCCAAAGCTGCAATCGATCTGTCAGCACACAGAAGCCTTGCGAGGCGGCGCATCAGCTGAACCAGTGCATTGGCCGGCAAATGGAGCGCAATCGGGTCAAGCTGCACTGGTGAGCTCCACTGAGCTCTGGTGGGCTACGGGATGTATCCTGGTCCATTCAGTTATTGGGCTCAACCCGGCTCCCCACCCAAATCCCAAAAAGATTGTCTGCTGCTGCTAATGGCTGCTCGCTTTATTTGTCTGTGCATGTCCAGGAACCAGGATCTCCAGCTCTATAAACGAATGTAGGGAATAAAAAAAAATATACAAATACAAATCACAAAAAAAAAAATATCGGCCAAATTGTTAAATGGAACGTGGAGGCATTCTACTCCTTGACTTCGGGAATCTTGTAGGAGGCGGCGCGCATTTCCCGCAGCATGCACATCGATATGGCGTGGCACACCTCGCACCTAGACAGGAAGGAAGCAGGAAGGGATTAGTGCCAGCTAAGAGGGAGAGAGAGAGAGAGAGAGGGAGGGGGGGGGGGGGAGCAATGTCCCGACTCACTCGTCAGTGATGCCGTTGGGTGCCTGATTGCACTTGGCTGCAATCGCTTTGGAATTGGCCTCCTTATCGGGGAACATCATGTTCATCATGTCGACGGTCTTCGCCTCATCGAACTGCATCTGGCCCTCGCCCATTATTTCGAACTGTTTCAGCATGCAGCGACGGAAGCATTTGCTCTCGTGCGAGGCATCCTCCTTGTTCAGCACCATCTCCTCAATGTGGCCTGGCCGGAGATGGATTGGTTTGCGTTGGTTTGGTTTCGATTCAAGCCAAGGACTCATTCTGATGGACACTTACTGCGCTCCGGCTTGGGCTCACAGCCATTGCCAAAGGGCTCAACCATTTCGACCACCTCGCTGAGTGACATGGCTGTGTCCTCCTCCTTCTGGTCGTCGGCTTGGGCCAGGGTAAGCAGCGTCAGCAGCAGCATGGTCAGACAGGTCCGTTGCAGCATCATCATCATCGTCAACTTCTCTCTCTCCACAAACATAACTAATCCCATTTGGATGCGCTTTTATAGCCCAGCAACGTGATCGCAGCTCTCCGATTGGCATACCATTCGCTTGTAGCTACAAAAGCAGAGATCGGATCTGCACCCAGGGAAACCAATCAAAATGCGCCACAATTGACGGTGTAAATCGAACATTTATTCGTGAGCCACTGGAGCGTAATGTATGTAGCTATATATGTATGTACATATATGTATATATGACAATATACTCAATGCTCGCCATCATCATGTTCGATTAGGGAAACACAAAGATCTCAATCTTGCTGCGGAAGCAGGTGAGCTGCGCGTGTGCTGCATCGCAGTTGTTCTTGATGCCAACGGCTGCATCCTTGCACTCGCTGATGCCCTTGCGATAGGAGGCCTTGTAGCTCTCCGGCATCAGGAGCTCCACCTGCTTGAGCGTCGACTCCACCATGAACTTGCCCTTCTTCATCTGTGCGAATGGAGTGGAATTGAATCTGTCGCTAGTCTCGCATAGCTCGTCCTCCCTCCGCATCTACTCACCGTTTGCATCATTTCCATGATACAGTTGATGTAGCATTTGGCATCCTTGTCGTCGGGCAGAATGCCCTTCTGTATGCCGTCGGCTATTTCCGTGGTGATCTTTGGGAACTTGGGCAGGCAGACGTCACGCATTAGCTTGCCGGCTGCCCACATCTGATCCTCGGTGGCCTATAAAATAGCAATATTTGGAATTGTGTAACTGGGAAATCCATTTCGTATATCTATCTCCCATCTCTATCCTACCCCTGGACGACAGAACGGCAGGCTGACCAATAGACTGCCGATGATTAGCTGTAGATATTGCATCGCGCTCTTTCAACTCTCTTATCTGATCTGAACTGATCCGTCCCAGATATGACCGCACTTTTATATTGGCATTTGCGTCAATATTCAAATGAGAGGTCGTCGCCACGGTCCAGCCCCTCGGGCGGTACCCTACGAGCCCTAATACCATACATTTGCCATTTGAGCCAATGCCAATTGCCAATTGTCAATTGACAATTGACAATTGACAGTTGACAATTGACTGTCGATGGGCAATTGTCTGTCCGACTAAGGATTACTCAATTGCATTTCAGGTGTTCTTGGGGCACGCCACATTGGGGTAGGACCAACTGTGTGTGGGGCAGCTCAGCTGCAGTGAGTGGTTCGAGCCAACGCCCCATTGTAAAACGCTCATCATCGTCATTACGACGGCTCAACCATAATTAACTGCATTCAGTTACGCCTTTCTCGCTCTCTTTTTATCTCGCTCTCTCTTTCACTTGCTTTCTCTCTCTTTGTCTGTCTGTTTGTTTGAAAAACAAATATTTTAATTGAGCTCAGCACGCAAGAGTCAACCAGATCTTTAGGCTTTAGATAGCCGCGAGCTACAAGCGAACTGCAATTGCAGCTCCATGCGAAGGGGCACTCAGGGGGTTACGGCATCTATTTCGGGCTGACACTAGCCACAAAATGTTAGTTCGCATGTAGGGTCTAGGCGCAGGTTAGGGTCAAGCATCCTTCATTCCTTATTCCTCAAAATCACAAATCAAAGCTTTCTTTCTTTAATCTTCGCTTCTCACTTGTCTTTAATTGGATATCTGTATCCCTCTTCTTCTTTTTATTATATTCGGTATTCTGTATTTTACACTGTTTCCTTCGCTTCTCCCTTCAATTTGGAGCTAATAAGGACTAGCTCTAGCAACGTTTCTCACTCTTTGTAAGGCTTCTTTTCGTTGACTTTTATATATAGTTGCACTTCTTTGATTGCTTTTGAAGATACATTTCTCACATACTTCTCGCTTTCCTGGACTTAGCTAACTTTACACTTCTTCCTTAAGGTTTTACTTGTATTTGTGAGTTCATATTTTTCGTCGTAATCTTCTTCCCTCACTTAAAAGTGAGGTTTGAATCATGAATCGCTTTGGCAATATTTTATTGTGTTAGGCTTCTCTTTTTTATGGAAAGACATGGATATTGTCTCCCTTCAATTTCAGTCTTCTGTGTTTCTTTGTAGCTCGTTTCATTCTTAAATTAAGAAATAGTTTTAGGAATTTTTCGCTTCTAACTCCATTGTTTAGTTCTCTTTTAGCTCTTATATTATTATATATTTTACAGATCTGCCATTTAACTCCTTGTAGATTTCAGCTCTACCTGCATCTTTGTTTCTCTATCTAACTAGGGCATCTCCAACTCTCCTATAATCGCCTCTCTCGCTCTCTTCTCGCTTCAATTGATGGGAATGCAATCTAATTGCACAATGGCTACATTAGTATAAATTGCACTATTATTAGAACCTTTGAAATGAATGATTGAACAAAAATACCATCTATTTGAGCTCTATGTGGATTATAGAGTCATTTGCTTAATGCACCCTCAGAGGTCTATAATAATCGCTCAATATATGTTGCATATACTCATTATAATCGCACAATATCTAACGAGCTGCAATTGATAGAGATTGAATATTATTAAGCTATAGGATATTTGTGAATAACCTGAAAAGGAATTCCAAATTTCAAATCAAAGTAGGCCTTGCTTTAAATGCTCCCTGCCATACAGAATCATGTCTAAGCATTAAAATTCAACAAAAAACTGAAACGTAAATTGCTTGAATTTCGATTCAACACACAAACATATAAAAATAAAAAATATATACATAGATAGATTTGTACACACATACATCTCGGGTCAAGGTATAGTCCTCCTTCTAGATACAAACTCAATCCTTCTCGCACCATGTCGGACTTCTTCAAGTTCAACAAGATCTTTGATAGCCAGACCGTGCGTGGACGCGCCAACGTAAGTCCATTGCTGCTTTTGGCTCTTTATCGAGTTGTCAACTGACTATCTATGTATTCGCAGGTTGCTAAGGCCACTTGGGCATCGGTGGGTCTCATCTATGTGCTGGTCAAGATGCGTCGTCGCAATGCTAAGCGTCGCGAGTCCTTTCAATATTGCAAAGGCTGCCAGCAGAAGCTGCTGCTCTAACAGCCAAACAGCCACAGTTCCATGCGATGTCCCCCAATTTCCATTTGTGTTACGGGCTGCCAATTGCTTGGACGTTAAGCGTTAACCAAATTCCTTGTGTTATGTCTTCAAATGTTAATAAAAATTAGACCGCAGTTCGAGCAATGCAATCCACTTGACTAACATTACTTGAAAGCTAGAACTAGTTGAGAATTCCAAATGGATTCGTGAAAAAATGTTTGTGGCTGTTTAGGATAGTCTTTTACAGGAGGGGGTGCTGTAACGGTTGATTGAGATTCCCAGATATTTGAGTAAATTGACTCAGCTCATGCCGTGAGAAGTAGAGTACGATAGATCCCCTGTATTACGGCTGTCTAGTCCTATGAGCCCTGTGCTGAGTACTCGAAGGAAAACAGGGAATGGAAAGCACCCCATCTATAAAAATCATATTGCTTTATAGAGTATCTGCTAGTCGTATACACTTGAATACTTTGTTTTGACTTGGCGTTGGAATAGAAGCAATCGTAGTAGGCAATTACTGGATGCTTGGCTCAGCTCGTTTTTGGGGCAGTTCAGTTCAGACCCGGCCCCGGACCCAGACATCCCAACCCGTATTTAGGAAAACATAGATAAGACTAAAACCCGGAAGCTAATTGCTGTTATTCGCGATGGCCGATGGCTTTAAGAAGTATTTCAATGGCTCTACAATGAGCGGCCGTGCGAATGTGAGTAGACCAACTGTAATTGTCCGACTGTCCAGCTCTTGTTAGCTAACTTTCTTTGCTCCTGCTGCCTCCGGCTGCTGCCTCCTGCTGCTGCTGTGGTAGGTTGCGAAGGCCACGTATGCAACCCTGGCGCTCGTCTATTTGTTCTACCGCGTGCGCCGTGGCAAGGGTCAGCCGGCGGAGGGCAAGGAGCCGCCAAATTGCAGCTGCGACGAGAAGAAGAAGCAGATGAAAGACGCAAGCGGTCGCGACTGCAGCGTTTGCCGTGAGCGGAAACCACGCGAGGATCGTTGCTCGAAAGAACCACCACCGCCACCGCCACCATCAGCGTCAGGGAAGTGTGAGCCGCCGAAGCGTCGCAAGTGCCCTTGTGACGCGACCAAGCCACAGCATACGCAGCACCATCCACAGAGCAATCCGAAGGCCCACAGTCAGCCGGCAACAGCGAGCTTCGCTGCCAGCCCGGAAAATGTGGACGAGGCGCATCCGACACGTGAGCTCATCACACAGATGCACGAGGCCGCCTCCCGGGTGCTGCGCAATGTGATTGGCGCCGTTATTGGCGATACGGCGTCTGGCGGCACCCGCAGCGTCGACACCGACGAAAATGGCAACCGCACCACGAAAGCACTCCCCACGCCTGCTGCTGCCGCCGTGGCTCCGCCAGCTGCATCGAGTCCTCCGGTCGGTATAATCGAACCCGCCGACCAGCTGGATGACGAAGGCAGCGACTACGATCCCGATACCCAGCTGCTCAGCCGCCAGCGACGCACGGCACCGCGCGCCTGTGTGCCCAGCAACACCAGCAGCGATCCCGATGCGGCCGTCCAGCTGGAAGAGCTTGCGGCCGTGACGCAATCGCAAACGGAATCCCAAACTGTGTCCCAACTGCAGCCGCCGCCGAAGGTGCTGTCCACCTCCATCGCGCAGTCGAAGCCACAATCTCAACCGCATCATAGGTTCCGCTATTTCGAGAACGACTTTGCGTCAGAGATGTTCTTCGAGGACTTTGAGGATTAAGATTTGTCAGGGGCTAAATCCGTGGTTAACGGCTTATATATCTATCCAAATTCTCAATACAAACGAACTGTTTATTAAATTAAACCGCAGCAAAAATTGCTTTAGTCTTGACCATATAGCAAAACAATCCATTTCTACTATATTTATTGACGCAGAATAAAAAGTGAAAATTCTTTTATGGGTGCTGGAATGGTAAAGTCACTATTCTCAGCTTGATGACAACAACTCGATTTAGTTATAATTTGTATATGAATGAGGAGAATTCATTTAAAGCTCAAATTTCCCTCAACCAGTAAACAAATACTCTTCCTCTAATATAAATAAGTCATCGATTATTAAGATCCGCTTCATTTTGCATGCAAATTGTCCATCCCCAACGTTGTGTCACAGATTCAAAATACTGTTTAAACTAAAATTTCCCTCTGTAGGCTGTTAGAATAGGGAAATTGAGCAGCGAATACTATTTCTCGATATAAATAATCTATCGATTGTTAAGATCCTTTTGAATTTACGTGCAACTTCAACGTGTGACAGATTCAAAATTCCTTTTAAATTAAATTTCCCTCAATCGTATTCAGATAAATAACGTGGATTGCTGAGAGAATAAATGCTGTCTACTCCCCAACACATTAAACGCTTCAATTTTTTTTTATATTTGCAATTTAATTTTAAATTTCAGATGTTTGCATATTTTTAATTTAATTTAATTTTTTTCTTTTGGATTTTTGCTGAAAACACACAACTAGAATTGATCATCATTAGCATATTATCGTTTATCATTATCATTATAGCATTTATCATTATCAATAATCAATATTCGTAATTCATATCAATATCTTATCAACTGCATGCAGGCAGGCGGCAGTTCCTGCCAACTGTAAGCTATGTAAGCATAATTATGTTTATGTTTGTATATGTATGTATAGACTAAATAGATTCATGGTGTGCTCATACATCATATATATGAGTATGTGTGAGTGTTTGGACTTTTTTAACTAACATTTATGCAATATGGAAATAACATTTAACGTTTACTTATTTTGCTTTTTGGTTTCGTGTGTCGGTCGCATCGGCTCATCTACAGTTTCCACTGGAAGTTTTCCAGTCTTATACTCTTTCAACATTGCGCTTTCATTTGTTTTTTCTCTCTCTTTCTTTCTCCCAAGCTGTATTCGTTTATGTGAGTCAGTGAATGTGTGTGTGTGTACGTGAGTGGGTATCTTTGACTATCTGCTGCAGTATGTGCAAATTGCTAAGCAGTTAATCAACTAATCGATTAATCAGCTAAACAGCTATTCTAATGCGTTTGAAGTGCGTTTCGTTTATTGTATGTTAAGCAGCAGTAGCAGCAGCAGCGGGCTGGTTATTTTCCTTTTAATTTCCATGATCGATAAATAGTTGATATCGATAGTGCGTTTAGCCATCGTGACTGGCAACGGACTCCAGATCGCTGTTGTCCTCGCTCCCAGTTGCCTCGGTGGGTTCGCCCATGGCCACGCGCGCATATTCATCGGTATCGATGCTCTTGCAGAAATGAATCGCGTATTTCAACTTCTCCAGCAGCACAGCCTACAGCAATGAGAGGGGAGGAGTTTTAGTCTATATTTCAAGCGTAGATTTCGTTAACTTTCGGCTTACCTTGCAGGAGTAGCGTGGCATTTTGAGCAGGAAGAAGCACGTATAGCTTTCGGGCAGAAAATGATCGGGCGGATTCTTTTCGAGCACCTGCAGTACAAAGTCTCGTCCTCGGAAATCGGCTATGGTGCGCGGCAGTCGTGTTCTGCCCCAGACAAAGCGCAGAAACAGGGAACGCTCCTAAAATAGAATTTCCGAGAGCATTTTAGCAACTGCGTCAGATTGACATTTCTGCTCATTTGACTTACCTGGTTGGTGAACTCCTCCATGACCTCCCAAAACCAGCCGACCAGCGCAGAGCTGGGATCAAATCCCTTGTAGGTGGCAACCGATTTGAGCAGCCCCAGCGGTATGTCCGGTGAGCCGCAGACCATGGCCTGTAGCTCGGCGGCCGAGAAGAGCGAGAGCAGGGGCACGGGTATCACCTTGGACATGCCGTCCCGCACCGCTTTCACCTGCTCGTCGAACTCGTGCAGTCGAAAGCCGAGCGCCAGACGCACGTATTCCGCACGATTTCTGGGCGAGATGTGCGTGTAACGGGTGGACAGCGGCACCTCGTGCCCGCGCGCCGACGATGTCGAAAACGGCAGCTCCAATGTGTTGAACAGCTTGGTATCGTCGTCCATGTTGCGTATGCAGAGCAGGCCGGCCACATAGTCGCGATCCACCTCAGTGAGATCGGTGGGGCGCAAGGGCTCGCCCGTCAGCTGACGCCAAACAGGTTCCGCCAAGCTGAAGGAAGAAAGAGATGGGGTTAAATTGTGTTGTCATTGTATATTCATTCCAGCTGAACTTACTTGAGACTCAGCGGCGAGCCGGTGCGCACGGCTATGCCCATGAGCACGCCCAGGAAGCGGAACATGTTCATCTGCAGCACGGAGGTCAGGGTTGGGTCCAGCAGGAAGCAGTCTCGGTTGGCACCCGCCTCGCCACGGCCATTGGGTGTGCTGATCAGCAGTGGAACACTGCCGTTCTGCAGCTCGTCGCACATCTCCGCAATGGACTCGCTGTAGCCACCACCGCAGTCGTCCACGCTCTCGCCGACAAACTTGACCTTCCACACGCGGTGGGGCAGGGCGAGCGCCTCCTGGGTGAGCAGCGGCAGCTTCTGCACCATCTGGCCAAAGACGCTCTTCATGCCATCGACGCCGGCCAAGCCATTGCAACGACTGCGGGAGCGCTTCACCTGGATGCGATTCAGCTCGATGACGGGTCCATGCTGTTTGTCTCGCACCATTGTCGTTTGGATGACCTTGCGGAACGCGGCCTCCTTGATGTTGTAGACGAGCACGTCTTTCAGGGCGCCCAGGCTCAAGTCTCCCGAAATGGGCAGCATGGCCAGGCAGGGACAGAGCAGCTCCGAGAAGTGGTGCAGCAGGATGAGCCGAGCGTGCAGCGCCTCCGGCGGCAGGTCACGCACCAAGTCGTATTCGAGCGGCGGATTGGGCAGCGGACGCAGTCGCTCACTCAACTGCGAGGTGGACAGGGCCAACGTGTGGGCCGAGCCACAGGTGACCTTCACGATGTGCTTGCCCTGGAGGGCGGCGACCAGGCGTGGCCGTTGTATAGCCGTCACGGTGCCATCGCCCAGTTGTCCCTCGTCATTGTCACCCCAGGTGAAGACCTCGCCGGCGTCGCTGCAGGCGACGCAGTGCAGCGAGCCGGTCGCAATCGAGATGATCTTCTTGCCCTGCAGCGCGGCCACTTTCTTGGGTCGCCGCACATGTTCCACCGATCCGTGGCCGAGGCGATGGAAGTCGCCCTTGCCCCAGGTATAGACGGCGCCGGATTTGGTTAGCGCCACGGAGAACTGTGAGCCGCACTCCACCTTGATGACGCCCAGGCCGGCGAGACTCTCGATCTTGTAGGGCAGCTTGCAGCCATCGCTGCCGCCGCGTCCCAGCTTGCCATAGTCACCATCTCCCCAGCTCCAGACATTGTCGTCGTCCGTGATGCACAGCGTCTGGGCATCCCCCGAGCCGCAGGCAATGTCAATGGCCCGATAGCCCAGCAGCGCCTCCACCAGCTTCGGCCGCAGCTGATCCTCCGAGTCGCCATGTCCCAGGCGACCGTAGCGACCCTTGCCCCAGGTCAGGACGTGTCCACTCGCCGTTATCGCCGCCGAGTGGGCGCTGCCGCAGGCAATGTCCGCCACACTCATGCCATTCAGATGCTCCACCAGTTTGGGCCGATCGTAGCTCATGCGATTGCCGTGCCCCAGCTTCCCGTCCTCGCCCTCGCCCCAGGCGTACACCTCGCCGTCGGTGGTCAGGGCGAGGCAGTGCTTGCCCCCGGAATTGACGGCCACCTTCTTGACGAACACATGCTGCAAGGAGCCCAGCAGCGTGGGTATGGCCCACGAGTCGCTGCCGCCGACGCCCAGGCGTCCGCCGGAGCCGTAGCCCGTGGCGAACAGCTTGCCGTCCGGCGTGACAGCAAACAGGGATTGCTCGCCGCCGGCCAGCTGCACCGGCCGCAGCAGGCTGAGCGCCTCGCAGGGCGTCGGCGTCTTGATTCTGCTGCCCTCCAGGCCGCCCAGCTGCCCGCGATGATTGTGGCCCCAGCCGTAGATGGTGCTGGCGCCGCCCCAGCTGAGCGCCCAGTCGTCTGGCCGGCGATTGAGCCACTGCAGCAGCTGGGCATCGTGCGGCGCCTGGAACAGTGTGTGATCCTCGTGCAGCAGCAGCTGCAACGGCTGCGGCTGCAGCTGCTCCAGCAGCAGCATCTCCTGCTGGGCCAATTGATGCGCCTGCACCTGCTGCACCTGCTGCTGCTGCTGGTCCGTGGCGGAGGCATTGCTCACCGTGCTGGACGAGAGCGATGTGGTCGAGTTGATCAGCGAGGCGCCCGGAGATTGACAGCCAGCAGCCACTGCACTGGGCACTGGCGTCGGCAGCATCTCGGCAAACTTCTTGCGCACCTCCAGGCAGAATTGACGTGGCAGCTCCGTGCGTCTGATCAGGGATTGGGCCACGCGCACCGCAATGCAGTAGCGCTTGAACCACGCCCACTTGTGCATATCCCCCGATGCGTTCGAGTTGAGGCTGCTGCTGCTGCCGCCTCCGCCGGCAACGCCTCCGCCGCCGATGAAGCCAGTCACAGATCCGCTTGCTCCGGCGCAAGACGCGCTAGTGCTGCTGCAGATGCCGCTGCCGTTGGTGGGCAGGGCGGCGTCCAGTTGCATGTCGCAGGCGAGCGCCGCCAGCGTCTTGAAGTAATCCGAGTGCATCAGATGAATGCCTCCGCGCACCTGTGGCTCCTCGTACTCGTACTGACGCAGTAGCTCCGGGATGAGGGGCATCAGTATGGCCGCCAAGGCGGGCTCCTGCGGCTTGGGCGCCTGCTCCAGCAGGAGCACCGCGTGCAGTTTCTTCAGCGCCCAGATGCGCTGGGCCGTGCTCAGGGCGCCCAGTTGGGCGCAGGCCGCCAGCGCCGCGGCCAGCCGGAGCAGCACCTGGGGCTGGCGTGGCGCGAGCCGCGCATCGAGCAGCGCCATGACCAGCGCCATCGATGGCTGCGACAATACGGCACGGTCGGAGCCACTCTCGCCCAGCGTGGCAGCCGGCATGATGGCGTGCACCCAGAAGCGCCAGCCCCAGCCGTTCACCGAGCTGTCCGAGCAGAACTTCCAGCGCAGCTCATCGCCGGGCACCCGGATCTCGGGCGCCCAGTGGGCGAATTCGCGGCCCGAGCGCATGGCCAACATGCGGCCGGATGCATCCATGATCACCAGCGGATCGTTGCGTTTCTCCGTGCTGCATTGGCTGTCGAACTCGATGCGCAGCATCTCGGCGCCCGGAATGCGAACAGTTCCACTCACATTCATGTTGTCCACGTAGGGATGGCTGCTCTCCTGCATCACCGGCTTGGGCAGCTTGCCCAGGCAGTGGCGCGACGTGCACAGATCCTCCAGCTCCGTGATGCACGTCTCCAGCAGCATGGCCGCAATGCCCGCATTGCTGCTCAGCGAGATTAGGGTCTCGGCTATGGTCTGGGCGGTGCTGGGCGGGCCGCAGCGTCCGCACACCGCCAGCTTGAGCAGCTCGACCAGGCTCTTCGCCTCCGCCTCCTGCAGCAGGGCACCGAAATCGTCCAGTCCGTGATTGTGACTGAACTGGGCCAGCATCTCCTCCTGCTGCGTCATCGTGGCGGCCATCACTGACATCGCGCTGGCCGACATTCGCGAGTGCGAGCCCGCCGACATGCCCGACATGGACAGTGAGCCGGTCAGGCTCTGGAAGGCGCTCAATCCCGAGCTCATCACTGCCGCCGGCAAAGGCATCTCCTCTGGACTATGCTGCGCCTGTGGCTCTACATCGCTGGCATCCGCTGGTGCCTCGCCTCCGCCCTGGGCAATAGTCGTAGCTCCAGCTGCGGCTGCGGCAGCGGCTGCTGCTGCTGTGTTCGTAGTTCCTCCTCCTGCTCCTCCTGCTGCTGCTGCTGCTGCTGCTGATGTTGCTGCTGCCGATCCACTCCCAGTGCCGGCAGCCGTGTTCAGCTGCTCCTCCAGTTCGATGTGCGCGCCGGCATGCCTGGCCGCCGACTCCTTGTAGTTGACCTTGCTGTGGCTGGTGAGTGCGGCGACAATGAGCTGCCTCGCCTGCAAGATGCTCATTGCCCGGAGCACATGTCCCAGTGCCGCTTGGCGTGCGGCTGGCGTCTCCAGTGCCAGGCTCTCGCTGAGACTGGCCAGAGTCGAGCCGGTGGCGGCGCCAGAGCCCGACGCTGAGCAGGAGGCAGCCGCGGCTGCTGCTGCCGCCGCTGCTGCAGCCGAGGTGCTCGGCCGCACGTCCGGCTTGCCGGCCATATCCGGCGTGGTGTGCGTATGCTGCTGTGTCTCCGCCTCGTAGATGCCCAGGCTGCTGCCGCCGAGCGGATCCCGAGTGCAGCCGAAGGGCACCGGGCCGCGTTTCTCCTCATCCAAACTGGCGTTGGGCAGACCCCAGGCCATGGAGTGGGAGCTGCCGCATGCCACACGATTCACGATCACCGCATCCAGCCCGATCACCAGGGCCGGCTTCTTGTTCACAAAGGTGTTCCCGCTGCCCTGTTGTCCGTGGTCGTTGTCGCCCCAGGCATAGACCTGTCCCGCGTCCGTCACGGCCAGGCAGTGCAGCGCACCGACGGCCACGTGGATGACGCGATGGCCACGCAGTCCGGCAATGGGCTGAGGCTTGCGCACGTGCTGATCCCCGCCGTGGCCCAGGCGATAGTAGTCGCCCTTGCCCCAGGTCCACACTTCGCCGGCTCGGGTCAAGGCCAAGCTGAACTGGGCCCCGCACTCGATCTGGATGACGCCGATGCCCGAGAGACGCTCGATCTCGTGCGGCGTCGAGGAGCCCTCACTGCCGCCGCGTCCCAGCTTGCCAAAGTCGCCATCGCCCCAGCTGAAGACGGCGCCGTCCTCGGTCAGCGCCAGCGTCTGGGCATCGCGACTGCCGCAGGCCACCTGAATGACCCGACGTCCACTGAGCGCAGCCACCAGCTTGGGCTTCAATTGGGTGGCATTGTCACCGTGGCCCAGTCGCCCGTACTCGCCCAATCCCCACGTGTAGAGCTCGCCCTGGCTGCTGATGGCCGCCGAATGGGATGAGCCGCAAGCGATGTCGCGTATCTTCTTGGCGCGCAGCGCTTCCACCAGTCGCGGCTTGTCCAGCGTGCTGCGATTGCCATGGCCCAGCTTGCCGTCCTCGCCCTCGCCCCAGCTGAACACCTTGCCGTCCAGGGTCAGGGCGAGGGCGTGCTTGCCGCCCGAGTGAACCGCTACCTTCTTCACCACATACTGATGCAGCACCGGCAGCTGATGGGGCAGCGGCACATTGTGGGTGACCCCGAGGCCAAGTCGTCCATTGGTGCCCTCGCCGCAGGCATAGACCTTGCCATCCTGGCTCACCACAAAGAGCGACTTCGAGCCGCCGGCTATGTGGATGGGACGCAGGCGACTTATTGTCGGCGAGAAGGTGGGCACCTTCACCTTGGAGCCCTTCAGGCCGCCCAGCTGCTCCTTGTCGTTGAGGCCCCACACCATGACCGTGCAGGGCAGCTCCTGGTCGGTATGCCCGGTTAGGCTCTCAGCTATTGGCGCACTGCTCGATGTTCCGGCTGTTGCTCCTGCTCCTCCGGCAGCTGCTGCTGCGGCCATAGCCGCCGCTGCCGCTGCGCCCGCGCCTCCATTCGTGCTGCCATATTCACAGGCCAGGAACTGGGCATTGGCCAGCATGTGCTGGATGTCCGGCTGCTGGCGACGTCCGATAAACTCGATGCCGTGCACCTTGCACTGGATGCCGTTGTTCTGGCACTGCTTGATCACAATCTCGATCCAGGGATAATAGGAGACCGCCTGCTGCATCAGCACCACCCGATTCACGGTCGATCCCACGGGCACCCATGTGTACTCCTTGAGGCTGTCGATGCAGTCACCCACACGCACCTCCACCAGCGACGGCATGTGCGAATGATCCTCCGGACTGACGCGCAGCGCCAGACTGTGCACCAGGATGCGATCGTGCAGCTCCAGGCGTATCCAATGCCGGCAGGCGCCGCTCGAGCAGCTCTGCCAGGCCAGGCCGCTGCCGTCTAGCAGATGCTTCGCTGCCGCCTCATTGGAGCTCACGCTCAGCGAGCGTATGCAGCGCGACCAATCCTCAATGAGATCTGCTTGAGACGCAGCTGTCGCAGCCCCAGCCCCAGCCGCAGCCGCAGCCGGAGCTTGTCCAGCAGCTGCTGTTGCGCCTCCGGCTGTCCCCGGCGTCGCCGGCGCAGCGACTGTTGGACTCGGTTCCACGTCGTTGATGTGACCTTGCCAGTTGGGCTGGTCGGGAAACTCGACTGTCAGCTGCTTGCCCCGCATCGCCGTCACCAGGCCGTACTCCAGCTGGCTGCGTGAGCCGCCCAGCCGCATCAGTTGCCTCACCCGGGCGCCCACAGCTATGGGCGGCGGCGGGCGTGGCAGTGGGAGTAAATGTGCTCCCGGCTGTGCCGCCTCCACCAGTTCGATGTGCACGAAGCATACCCAGTAGGTGCTGCCATGATTGCGCCAATCCACCTGCACGTTCAGATCGTGCAGCCCCTCCGTGTCCACGATGAGCACGGTGCCCATGTCGCCCTGCTTGATCTCCTCGAAGTCGCGACAGCAACGCACCAGCATGCCCGGACGCACCAATCCCCGGACATAGAGCGCATAATGATCGGCAGTGGGAAAATCTTTGCGCGTATCGAACTTCTGCACCGGCTGATCCTCGACCGTGTCGGAGGATGAGCAGGTGCTGCTGTTGCTGCTGGTGGTGCTGGTGGTGCTAGTGGTGGTGGTGGTGCTGCTGCTGCTGCGACTGCTGCCATTGGCGGCCGCTGCTGCTGCTGCCGCCGCTGTCGGCTCCACTGCCTCCACATCGATGGTATTCGCACAGACATCCGGATGCTCCAGTATCCATTGGACGATTTGCTCCGGCGTCGGCACAGCCTCCGCCTGCAGCGACAGCTGCTTCAACGCCAGCTCCACATTGCGTCGCGTGAAGCCCATTTCCATAATCTGCTCAATTAGCTGTGCATCGCTAGCCGGCGGCGCTGCCTGGCTGAGCTGATCCGCTGGCGCAGGCGCCGACTGCTCCTTGGCCACATTGTAAACGGCGATGCCATGGACCATGGTCGGCTGCGCTGGGCTGGCCAAGTGCACCGGCTGCAGCGCGTTCTCCGCGTTCAGCTGCTGATACGCCTGGCTGGCCAGCGTCTGGACGCAGTTGAGCGCCGCCGTGGCCAGATCCGTATAGCTATAGCACGCCTTCACCGGGGACGGCTGCGTGGCGCGCAGCAGCAGGACCTGTATGAGCAGCTGCTCCGACGGTTGATGGCTGCGCGAGAGGGAGAGGGAGAGGGGGAGGGGGAGTTAGTTAGATGTGTAATCCTCTCCAGCAATGCATTCACTCCTTACCTGTTGTTGTTGCCATTGTCGTTGTTGTTGTTGCTGTGGTTGCCGCTGCTGCTGTTGTTGGCCTCCGTGTGCTCCGACTGCAGCTCCAGTTCCGCCTCGTTGAGCGCCTCCGCCTCCGGCTCCTCGCTGCACTCGTTGCTGCTGTAGACGCTGGCCGGCGCCCGCTGCTTGAGTATCTTGCGCAGCGCCGCCTGGTGCCGGTAGAGCACACCGTTCGTGTGCAGCACCGCCAGCTGCAGCTGCTGGCTGCGCAGCAAGCGCACGTCCAGCTTGCCCTCGCCCGCATTGAGCAGCTCCCAGTTGCCGGCGCTCGAGCTGGAGCTGGGGCTGGGGCTGGCGGCGCCATAGAGCAGCACGGTCCAGGCGTTGAGCAGCATCTCGTTCATGGGCAGACGCGTCAGGCTGAACACGCTGTGGTCCAGCTGCGGCAGCACCGTTGCCAGCGGCACCTTCACCAAGCCCTGCGCCAGATTGGCGACCGCCGGCGGAGCGCTGTAGGCCAGCAGGCAGCGGCCTTTGTGGGTGAAGCTGGCGATGATCATGTGGCTGCCCTCGTGGAAGCAATGGAGGCCGACACGCGGACGCAAGTCGTAGCCACCCATGGCGCTCAGCACGCCCAGCACCAGGCTCTGCTCCGTGTCCAGCGGCGTCTGCGGCAGCTGCGATTCGCCCTGCAGCAGCTCGGCGGCGACGCAGAGCTTCTGTGCCAGGAACGAGTTGATCACCGCATTCCAATGCGGCAGTGTGTGCAGGCGACGCAGCAGTGCCACCAGCTCCTCGGCCACGCTGCCCGAGTGGGAGGCGGTCAGCAGGACTCGCGCCTTGCCGCCCTCCTGCACCGGCTGCAGTGTCACATCGCCCGGACAATGCAATGCGATGCGTCCGAGCGTGGCGAAGAGCTGACGCACCAGGCCAGCCATGCGCGGCTCCTGCTCCACGCCCCACGAGCTGAGGATGCACTGCATCAGGCGCAGGCAATGCAGCTGACGATACACTCCACGCTCCGTGCCCGCCGGCTGCTCCAGCAGCGCAAAGTAATGCGACAGCCAATTCGGGGAGCTCAGCTCCAGGCACAGCCGTGGACAATCACCTGGAAGGAGCACCAAAAATCATACATATTTACAGTCAGAATACCATCGATTGGTGGATTCTCGCGCCTCGCGCTCACCTGCTATGGCACGTATAAAGCCAAGGTTCAGCCAGCTGAGGCAGTGCACCACATTGGCCAGCGCCGGCTTCGGATCGACTATAGCACGGAACATGCTCGTGATGCCACGAAGCGCGTACTTGTCCAGCTGGGCGCCGTGCAGGCCACTGCCCACGGCCAGGATTTGCAGCAGCTTGGAGGCGCAGTGCCTCAGAAGCTTAGTGGGATGCGATTCGCTGCTGGGCGGTGGCTCCAATGTGCCCAGCTCCTCGCGCTCTGGCTCCGTCGGTGAGGCAACATTGAGAGCGCTGTCCGCCAGCTGAAGATCGTATTGGCCCTCCTTGCCCATGCGATAGGAGTTGGTGGCGCCCGTATACCACTCGACACGCACCCACCTGTTGGGGAGGAATTGCATTATTAGAAGTGGAATCTTAAGGAGCTCCTGCTGCTGCTGTTTGTTGCCACATACCCGTCCTCGCCCACCTCGCTGATGATGCGCCCCTCGCCCGGCGGATTGCCATCCTGGTCGCCCCACTTCCAGTCGGCGCCGCGCACAATGCGCGTGCCGATCTTCATGAGCTTGGCCAGATCCGGTCCGCTCAGCTGCGCCTTGCTGCACTTCTGCTTCAGCACGCTGTCCTCGTAGAGGACGCTCAGCTCGCAGTTGTTCGGCTTGACGTTGCCCTCGCCGCCCGTCTGGGCCAGCAGGCCCAGGACGGTGCCCAGCAGGCCCGAGTTGATGAGCAGTCCCAGCTCGTTGGCGCCCAGCTCCTTGGCCAGCAGCCCGAAGACGCTGATCAGGAAGCGGGCACGTGGCAAGCGCTTGAGCAGCACGTAGGTGCTCAGGTTGCAGCTATCCTTGCCGCGAGCGGCGCCCTGCTGCTCCTGGTTGACCAGGCGACGCAGCTCGCGCACAGCCCAGTCGAGGACCCGCGACTGGGCGAGCAGGAGGCGTGCCTTCTGGTACGCGCTCACCATGTTCAGCTGGCCGAGCACATGCTGCGGCGACGCTCCGCTGGCCGCCGACTTCAGATGCAGTCCCAGGTAGCCATTGAGCAGGCTGTACTGGGCGGCGTCCAGCAGGCCGTGCAGCTCCAGAAGCTGCTGCACCAGCTGCAGCCCGGCCAGACGCAGCTGGAAGCGCTGCATTTGGCAGTACATGGCGCGTCGCACCGTCTCCACGTCGCAGCTGTCCTGGAGCGCAAAGTCCACGATGTCCTGCATGAGCGTCGCATCCAGCTCGATGTCCGTCTGTAGCTGGCGTTCGTTGAGGCGGCGCAGCAGCGACTCCTCCTCGTCCAGTTGCTTCTGCTGCTTGGGCTTATTTTTCTCCTCCTCCTGCTGCTGCTGCTGCTGCTGCTGTTCGTGATCATAGATGAGCAACTCCGTTGCAACAGCTTGTTGCTGCTGCTGCTGCTGCTGGATGCTGGCATTGAGCAGATCCTCGGGCTTGGCCGCCGGCTGTTGCTTGGCGGTGCGCAGCTCCTGCAGGAGGCGTCGCACCAGCAGCCGGAATCGCGGCAGACGCTGCAAAATTGGCAGCCGGCGCAGTCCGCGCTGCTGCGGACTGATGGCGGGACGCACCTCGTAGAGCAGGAAACGCAGACGCTCCAGCACGGGCGCACAGACCTCCTTGTAGCTGCGATTGAGCTGCTGCCGCGTCCGCACCACCGACCACTTGGCCTGGTGCACCAATCGTATGATCTCGCCCAGCTGCTTGGGCAGCGACTGCTGCTGCTGCTGCTGCTGCTGTTGCTGTTGCTGTTGCTGCTGTTCGCCCAAGGGCAACGCCTCCAGAGCGCTGAGCACCAAGCCGCCCAGGCACTGATGCCGCAACAGAACGGCGCTCAGTAGACGCTCCAGCTCCTGCACCGGATGCTCGGTGGCGAACTCCTGGTGCCACATCAAATTGTGCGCCTTGCAGTAGCGTTCGGTCAGTGTCAGCCAATTGGCCACCAGCGGGTCACTGAGTCGCGCCTCCGCCAGTCCCGCAATGAAGCTGTCCACGCGATTCTGCAGCTGCGCCTTGGGTGGCGGCGGCAGCGGTGCCTCCGTGGGCGTGTTGCCCGCCGTGCTGTGACTGCTGCGCGCCTCGCCCTTCTCCTCGTCAAACGGATTGTTGGGCTGCAGCATGAGCAGGCCACCGCTGAGCAGCGACGACTTGTCCAGCTGACGGCACTGCAGCTCCGCTGGCTGCAGGCCCGGACCGCTGCACATGAGATTGGCGACCAGGCCCAGCAGCTGGGCCAGCGCACACTCCGAGCTGAAGTGCGTCAGGCGGGTGGCACCCGGCGTGGCGGTCTGCAAAGCAATGCCAATGTCAATGGACTGTCTCATTGATGGATTCAGCTAGGTCTAGGTGTCTTACCTTCTCCTCGTTGGCGTTCTGGTTGGCTAGATATTTGCCCAGCTTGTGGTGCTGCAGCAGCTGCTCCATGGCGCTGCGATACGCCGGCGTGCTCAGCTCCGCGCTGAGATCCTTGCCCAGACCCAGATCCAGCAGGGCTCGCATGTTATCCGACTCACAGCTGTAAGGAGACACAATATAACGGCAATTGAAATCAACTCTGGCTATGGATATGAATCCCATCTCCCCACTCACTTGTAGCCATTGAGATCACAAACGTAGCCGGCCACAATGATGCAGCGTCCGCCGTCGAGCAGCAGATTCTCCATGTCGCAGCGCCGGACGTAGTGCGTCTCTGGGTCGGCAGCTGGGGGCGGTGCTCCGCTTTTGGGGCCGCCGCGACAAATGATGCCCGGCCAGCCCATGTCGTCGTTGTCGCGCAGTTCGCCCTCGCCCAGGGCGCGGTTCAGGCGATCGAGCACGCGCAGCAGCGGCAGGAAGAGGCGGGCCCAGCGCAGGCTGGCCAGGCACTGGGGGCGATCCCGCTTCAGCAGCACCAGGCCCACCAGCAGCTCGTGCAGCAGCGCGTCCGAGATGTCCGACTGGAGCACACGATTCAGCGCGGCGCCCAACAGCTGGGCGCCCAGCGTCACCAGCTCGCCCGACTCCCGGCACTGCAGAGCCAGCTCCTGGGCCTGTTGCAGCGTGCTGACGCAGGCCGGAATCAGGCTGTGCAGGTATTGGGCGAGCAGCGCCTCGGCTCCCGTTGTGTCCTCCTCGGGGCCCGCCTGATGAATGTGCGCCAGCAGCAGCCGCTGGAAGCGATGCAGCAAACAGAGACTGGGACTCGTGCCGGGCTGCTGCTGCTGCTGCAGCAGGAACTGTTGCTGCTGCTGCTGATGCTGGTGATGGTGATGTTGATGCTGATGCTGGTGGTACAGGTGGTGCTGGTACTGGTGGTGGTGGTGATGGTGGTGCAGGTGGTCCTCCTCTGCGGGCTGTTGTTGCTGGTGCTGCTGCTGCTGCTGCTGTTGCTGTTGCTGTTGCTGCTTGACCAACAGCGTCAGGGAGAGGCGACTCTGTGTGAGCGATGCATTGTTGCCCAGCAGCCGCGTGATCAGCTGCAGCAGCGGCAGATGTGCGCCGTCGTTGCAATCCGTGGAGCAGGAGCTGCTCTCCAGCCGTATGGCGTGCTGGAGCGCCGTCTCCAGGCCGCCCTCGGCCATCAGCGAGCTGACCAGCAGATCTGTCATGAAGCGATGTCCCGGCGAGCAGGCCTGCCCCGGCTCCGAGGGCAGCAGTGCCGTTAGCGTCTGTGCGCGTTCCGCTGCCGTCGGCAGGAGGACGCTCCAGCCATCCTGCAAAGGGAGAGTAATCAACAGATGTGATGAGATGCATATTCAGGATTATCATTAATGAGAGTTCACTCAGTACCTGGAGTGCCTGCTGGGCGGCCACTTGGATGGTGCGCAGCACCTGGCTGCCGCCGGCTAGACTGAGGATGCGGGTCTTGAGGCTGTTGAGCAGTCGCCCGCCGCTGGCCAGGCCGACGGTGCGCGGCTCCACGCCGTTGGCGATCAGCGCCAGCAGCTGGAGCCGCACCAGATTGAGGCAGGCGACGGCAATGCATTCGGACTCCTGGTTGGGTGTCTGGCGATTATCCTGCGCCGTGCTGGCACTGCACATGCCCAGCAGCTGGTCGAGCAGTCGGAATGTGGGTTCGCCCAGGTCGATGACAAACGGCGCACGCAACGGCACACCCTGCCGCGTGCTCTGCGTCCAGATCAGGCTCTGTGCGGCCGTGCAGGCAATGCCGCTGGCCGGCAGCGTGGGCAGGGTGACCTGGATGGGCTGCCGGAGCAGCGGTTCGCTGCAAACGGAGGCGGGACAGATCTGCTGATTATCGTTGCGACCCCAGCCAAAGATCTCGCCGCTGCTGCTCAGCGCCAAGCAGTGGGCCACGCCCACGGCCACGTCCACAATGCGCTTGTGCTGCAAATCAGAACGAAACCAGGATTAGCTCATCCCGAAAACAGATTCCTGATGGCCCATGCCCAGACTCACCTGCAGGCCGGTTATCAATCTGGGCACACTGCAGCCCTGCACGTTGCGCTCGACCAGCTGGTGGCCCAGGCAGGAGGCCTTGCCCCAGCTGTAGAGCTGGCCCTCGCAGCTGAGCGCCAGCGAGAACTGGGCGCCCGCAAAGACGCGCTGCACCCGCGGCAGGCAGTCGATGAGCTGCGGCAGGAGGCTGCTGTTGCAGCTGCCGTTGCCCAGCTTCCCGTAGTCGCCATCGCCCCAGGCAAAGACCAGTCCCTCGCTGGTCAGGCACAGCGTATGGGCATCGCCGCTGCCCAGCGCCACGTCCACCACCTGGTGATCCTTGAGCGCCATCACCATGGCCGGCAGACACTGATCATCCGAGGTGCCATGTCCCAGACGGCCGTAGGTGCCGCGGCCCCACGTATAGAGATTGCCGCCCAGCGTGATGGCCGCGCTGTAGGAGCAGCCGCAGTAGACGGACTTGACCAGGCGCACCAAGCTCTCGATTTTGGTGGGCAGCTCACGGGCATGGCAATCGCCGTGCCCCAAGCGCCGGCTGTCTCCGACTCCCCACGAATAGGCGTTAACTGAAAGAGGCAAAGAAAGATTAGCCAAAGCTTCGCTACTCCATTTGGCGGTAGCTTCCACTTACAGTTGCTGTCCACGGCCAGGAAGTGGCGGCCCTCGCAGTGGGCGGCTATGGAGATGAACGTCTCGTTGGCTATTTCGGCAAAGTCCAGCTGCTGGGGCTCCGCCTCCGGCTTGGCAATGTGCCAGTTGTAGAGCTTGCCCTCCTTGCTGAGCAGCAGCACCACATCCTCGCTGCAGGCCACCTGCTGCAGCTGGAACTTGCAGGGGAGCAGCGGCGGCGGTGGCGGTGCCGGCGGCTGCTGTGCGGATGCATTGCTCCAGCTCAGGGCGGGCTCCACGTTGAAGCCGGGTTGCTCCTTGGAGAGCGCCGGCCAGCCCAGGGCATAGACGCGTTGCTGCTCCCACATGTTTGTGGGCGTCGTTGTGGGCGTGGCCGTGGCCGGTGCCGCTGTGGGCATGAGATTCGTTCGCTGCGGCATATGCGGCTGCACCAGTCGATCCAGATGAGAGATGATGACCACAGCAGCACGCCGCAGATCCACAATGGCCGCCGAGCTCTTGGGCAGCATGAGAAAGCGCAGAAACGTTTCGGTGGCGCTGGCCAGCGGCGTTGGCAGCTCCACGTTTGGGTTGGGGCAGCCACTGTGACTATGATGCACTGGCTCGGCGCCCAGGCGCTGATACCGTTGCAGGATGCGCAGCAGCGGAGCGCCCGACTTGCGTGGCATGTCACGATTATCGCCATTCACACCGCCATGTCCGTGGGCGTGGGCGTGGGCGTGGCCGTGCACGTGGCCATGGGCATGGCCATTGTCGTTGTCCTTCTCCCAGAGCAGCAGCAGCAGCACCACGCACTCCAGCGTGGCGGCCAGCGTGCCCTTCTGCACGCCCAGCTCCAGCAGCAGGCACAGAGCCGTGTGCCTATCCGCCAGCGGGGCCAGGCAGCGCCCGCCCATGGGATCGCCGAGGGCGACGAGACGCAGAAACTTGATCGAGCGCTCCATCACCTCCAGCCAGAGCGGTGACACCTGGGCGGCCGAGTCGAAGAGCGTCGCCTCCGGCAGCTCCTGCAGCGACTCCAGAGCCTCACTCAGCAGCTCGCTGCACATTTCCATATCCTCGCCGGAGCGCCAGGCGCGACGCAGAAAGGCGAAGCTGAAATTGAGCGCGGCTCGTGTGCCGACGCGCGCCAGGCCCAGCGCCGCATGCTCCGGCTCCATCTGTGGCGGGCGTCGCGGCTGCTCCTGTTCGGGTGGAGCGGGCGCAGTGCAGTCCTCCGACTGCTGTTGTGTGGCTGAAGAGGGATGTGTCGATTGCAGCTGCTGCTGGTGCTGATTCTGCTGCTGCTGCTGCTGCTGCAGTAGATTTCGCTTGAGGGCCACAAAATATCTTTCGTAGATGAACAGCTGCTGGCGCAGTTGCTGCGCCGAGAGGCAGTTGCCGGCGGCGCGCAGCGAGAGGTCGTGGAGCTCAGCGATCATGGTGCGCTGGCAGTCGTGCTTGGCTAGCTGGTTGGGCGGCTGGCTCCACATCCAGCTGCTCAGCGTCAGCTCTGTGGCGTGCAGTTGCCCGGCCGTTGCCTGCTGGGCCGCCGCCGAGGTTAGCTTCTTGATGGCCATGTCCGAGTCGAGGGGTCGGCAGCCGTCACAGTTGCAGGCGGAGAGTGGGCCGCAGTACTCGGGCTGGCAGCAGGCGCACTGCAGCGCCTGGGCGCCACAGTAGTGTTTGCCATCGTCGCCCAGGTAGGAGAGCTGGCCGCGTGCATTCAGCAGCGGCGCCGTCGGCGAGGACACCAGTTCACAATCCTGAATCAGATGATTCCAGAGCACAGCGCCCTCGGCACCGTTGCGCAGGCAGGCAATGAGATCGGCGCGTAGCCATTTGGCGTCCAGGTAGGGCAGTGGGCGCAAATAGAGATCACTGATGGGTGTGGCAACACTGGCATGGCTGCTGGAGCCGCTGGACGTATGTGCCGGAGCTTCTGAAGCGGCCGCTGCAGCGGCGGCAGCAGCAGAGGCCGTTCCAGCGTTGCCCAGCCGATTGAACGTGAACATGGCGGGGGAGAGCGCGCGCGTGGGAGGGAATGTGTGTCCTTAGTAGACGTGTTCACAGCACTGGAATCCAGCAAACGCTGCTGCATCCAATATTAACATGGCACATTTGTTTTTTTTCCAAGACTTTCGTTTTTCTTTTTAATACCTTTGATTGTTTTCCTTTTATTGTTTATTTTTCCTCTTTCTTATTGTTCGTTTTTTTTCTTGACTATTCTTGATTATTCTCTACTTGCTTCTGTTGTGGCAAGACACACGATTAGAAGAAGAAGCAGAGTAACGGTTACTAGCTGCTTGTACGAGGCAGCGGGCAGCATGCGGTCGGACGGGCGGGCGGCCGTCGGCCCAGTTGCAGGCTCAGTCAATGTCGTCAGACTAACCAATACACCTACACACGCGAACAGCCTTTTCACACACACACGCAGACAAGAGACACACGCACAAATAGTGGCTTAGAATGAATCGTAGTTTTCATTTTCATTGCACTTGTGTCTGTGTGTGTGAGCAACAAAATAACAAAAAAATAAAACAATATAACTCTTGCGTTGATTTAGTACACTTATCTCACTAATATACTGTAAATTGTTGATTAAGTTCAACAACAATGCACATTAGTTTGTTATGCATTTCTTAAGTTAAGTGAAATATATTTAATCAATTAATAGTCGCCGTTGTTCTGCCTGCTACGCGAGGCTGCCAACCTGCTTGCGAAAAAAAAAACAAAAACAATTATCGATTAATGTTGTTGCAATTTTTCGCCCAACTTATCGAGCGACACTATCTGGCAGCACTGGCTTTTTTTTTCAAAAACTGCAATTGCGGGCAGCGTAGCAGTTTAAAAACCAGGTCAAATCTTCTAAAAATAAATGCACATGTACAACTTGTCAACAGCTGCAACTGGATGACCTTTCATTCAGCCAGTCGGCTTAACGAAAATTTGTTCTTTCTTTAGTTGTTGTTATTATGACCTCATCGCAGCTCAACCCAATTTCAAGCATAAATCAACCCTCAATTGCTACTGACTGTCTGGTACAGTAAAGCCAGCTTTTGTGCTCCCGCCCCATTGATTGTGCGTGAGTTTAATGGATGGGTTACATACTGTGGCAGATTGAATGGCAACAATTTGTGTGTGTACTGTAGAGGAATAATTCGTTTATTTATCGAATACATTGAAATGCATACACGAGTTGTTCTCAATTTGTTTTTTGTGTTTTTTTTTTGTTTGTTTTTCTTTTATATTTATATTACTTTGTATTTGTTTAAATAAATAAGATACATACGTTTAATCAATAATAGCAGTATTTATCGTGCAAATTTGATAAGCATAATAATGTTTTACGTTTACGTTTTGCTCTTTCTCTCTTGCAAGATTTTTTTTATGAAATAAGTTTTGCATTAAATATATGAAAAAAATATATGAATTTTTGTTGGTTTTTGTTTTTTTTTTTTTTTTTTTTTGTATTGTTTTAATTAGCTGCTCTTATATAATTGCATTTACTTTTTCTTTAAAGTAAAAAACGATCTGCGCTTTGGTTCGTCCTTTTGTGAAGTAGCTGGCAAAGTTTGGGATCTGCTAGCCGCCACAGCTGCCGATTCGCTCTGGGCCTTCAAAGCGGACACCCACTGTGACATCTCGGTATCATCGTGGGCCTGCAGCAAGAACTCAGCGCCACTAGCGAGCCTAAGCATTAGAAGCAAGAGAGAGAGAGAGAGAGAGGGATTGGATTAATATCGCTGCTCCAATTTGATTTCGCATTTCAATACTCACTTTACTCGCAGCACGTGCTTCTTCTTGGTATAATCACTGGCTATTTCGATGACAGCGCCCTGCAGATCATAACTGGGCTCACCGCGGAAGGTCAATTCGGGATTGCTCTTGCAACCCTTCTGATCTTTGAAGAACGAAACGCGTCCGCTTCGTGCAGCCATGTAAACCTGAAAGACAATGCATATTAGATATATATATGTATATTTATCAAATCAATATTGTCAATATCTTGTTGTTGTTGCTTACCTTATCCCAGGATCTATTGGAGGCCTTCTTGGTAGCCGACTCCCATTCATGCTTTCGGGTCACATATCCCTCCTGACCATCTCCAGCAGCTGGTGTGGCGCCACGCTCTACATAAGAAACTTCGATTAGTTGATGCACAAAACAAAACATAACAGATATATACATAGGTGTATCAACTTTGAAATGAGAAAGATGCATATGGTTACATATAGTTAGACATAGATAGATAGTTAGTTAGAGTGCTCCTTGACCTTGAGTTGGACAAGCAAGCAAGCTATACCTGTTTGGGTCTCGATAACGCGCTCGGTATCGACGGCTGTGTCTGCAGCAGCTGCGTTTCGTTTAGGTTAGTTGATGAGTGGTGTTAATCCGTCGTTATGTATATATATATATATATTTATATACATATAAATATATGTAGATAGATATATGGTAAGCATGAGTGAATGAGATGCAATATTCAAATTTTAATTGAGGTTATGTACGTACATACGAGCGTAGATCAGAGATTGTTAATAAGAATGTTAAATAGACAGATAGACAGGTGAGGTAAGAGTTTATGTGTGCTTCCATTCCCATCTAATCCTACCTGCTTCGTCATGGGCTCCAGCGCCCACATCGACATCATCGCGACGCTCGGCCTCACGCTTGGCCAACTCTGCAGCCTCGGATGCGGCCTTAGCCTCCTGTTCCTCCTTAATGCGCTGGCGTTCAGCCTCCTCCGCTTTCTCTTGGCGCCGTTTCATTTCTTTAAGCTCAAACTGCACGAAAAAATTTTACGATTAGAATATTGATGTGAGTCGAACGACAGTCGAATGAGAATTAAATGAAATTCAGCTCAAACGACAGCTCAATGGCAATCGAATGACAAGCAAATGTCATGGCTTACTGTTGTCAAACGCTCAAGTGCGCTGAAGCGCTCCTCCTGTGCGGCGGCTGACTTTTCAAATGCTTCGTGCTTTTTGATTAGATTCTCAACCTCATCGATGGTGTGTCCCAGCTCGGAGGAGAGCAGATATGGCTCTTGGGCGATAAGCCATGCCTCGGCAACGGCAGCATCTCGGGCAAACTGATAGACCTCCAGAACTGAAAAGTTTGGACATTTCGATTAATCGAAGCACATTCGATAACAGATTCGATCATGTTCGTGACTTACTCAATTGCAGATTCTCCCAACGTTCCTCCCAGCGTAGGAGCAGGGCATTGCGACTGTTGTTCAGCTGCTTCAGGCGATCCTTGATGTCAGCGGAGGCATAATGATTGCGCGTTAACAGCTCCTTGCCGAGCGATATGCACGCACTGAAATTATCCTCGCGCGTATCGATCTCGGCCTTTAGACTCTGATGGTTGTTCATGAGCAGCTCGACGCCGGATACGTCGCGCGGCTTCTCCGAAGTGTTCATCTGGCGCACCAGATCCTCCATCCAGATGGTGAGGATGCGCACCATATTAAAGAACCGGAACAGATCGCCGGTGTCGGCCAACTTTTGTCTGCGTGCATCGCACATGGCCTGCAGGTTGTCCCAGGCATGAAGCACTTCCTGTTCCCGGTTGGTTATCTCCTTGGCCTTGTCGCCGGCATAGGCATCCTGCAGCTTGGCAGATTCCTCCTGAATCTGTTGCACTTGCGAATACAGAGTTGTCAGATCCTGCAGGAAGTTGTAGTGTTTACGCTGCAACGTTGACACGGAGCCAGCATCACGGCCCAGCTCATCGGAGACGCCGTGCTGCTTCTCGAGTATGCGTCCCAGGACATCTTTGCAGTCATGGAAGAATTTGTGCAACTCCCGCGATGCGGCCAACATCTGGGTACGTGTCTCAATCAGCTCCAACAGATCCTGCCACGACTCGTTCAGATTATCCTTCCACTCGGCAATCGTTGCCGAATCCGAATGTCCAGCCTGTATCAGATTATCCGCAATGCCATTGACCTTGGCCACGCGTTCTCCTCCCACCGCCTCGGTGTCGCGGGCAAACTCATTGAAACGCTCAGAGAGTAGCGTCACATGATCATAATCCTGGCCAAGTTCCTGTGAGCCGGCAACCACCTCACGATCGGTAATCCATTGCTCTAGATCGTCAACCTCGCGGCTCAGCATGAACAGCTGCAGCGCTTCATTCAAGCGAGCGCGACGCTCGCCAGCCAGATCCTTGAGACCTGCGTACAGCTTGTCCAGCTGGGACTGCTTAACGGCAACGGCATCACCGCTGGATACATCATCGCTGCTGAATTGGCGTGCTACCTCGCCTAGCTGACGAATGGTGTTGGCATAGTCCTCCACGGATTGCTCAAGATTTTCGTGTTTCTTCATTAGATTTTGGGCACTGATCTCGTCCTTGCCGCGATCCTCGACCATCATGTAGAGCTCCTGTTCGCTCATCCATGACTCAGCCTCCTGGGCATCGAAGAAGTACTGCTGCACCTTCTCCGACTCGAGCAGATGACGCTTGCGATTCTCGATCGCATCCTTCAGCTCCTGCCATTTGGCTGTTAGGTCGCTGATCAAGGCTTCGAATTTCTTAGCATCCTCGTGACCCTCATCGATCAGCTTGCGGCCATTGTTGCAGATGGCATTGATGCGTGGCTCGTGGTTATCGATTTCGGTGGCCAGCGATTGGTTCTTCTTCTTCAAAACATGCACATTGAAGAGAGAGTTGCCATAATCTGTGGAATTGGCCACGGGCAGCTTTTCATTGATCCAGAGTTTCTCATCCTCGACATCGCGACAGAACTGGAAGGCCTCCTTCTTCTTCTCCAGCTGCTTCTGGCGCTCCAGCAACGGCGCCTTGATCTTCTCGAAGCGCTCTAGCACTGCCGTCTTCTTGACGACAATCGGTTCGATCTTCTCCTCGGGCACTGTCTTTTGCAGATATTCGGTCTGCTTGTCAATCTCTTCAACTTGGCGTGCCTTGACCGCCATCTGGGTCTGGATGACCTGTTGCTTCTGCATGAGTATATTGACAGAGGTCAGATCGTTGGCAGTGTCACCGCTCACGATCTGCTTCTCCAGATCTGTAATGTAGGAGTCGATGTCATCGCATGTCTGCTGAACCAGCACCTCGCGATTGGCATCGAAGAGCAGGGCGCCCTTCTCCTTGGTGTGCACCTCGAGGTCATCGAATTGCTTAGCCAGCTCCTTAAGTTTCGGCTCGATGACATCCTTGAACTCGGGCTTCTCCTTGGACAGCTCCTGGGCGGACTTCTCGGCCTCGTACAGGCGCTCCTTGTTAGCAGCAATCTCAGCCTCGAAGGCCTGATGCCTTGTCCATTTGGAGTGAATGGTCTTGGCGCTGCGGTAGGTCTCATCCTGCGATGTGACATACTTCTCCTGCACCCACTCGGCCAACTCCTCCAGATCCTGCAAGAATTCGTGCAATTTCACCTGGTTCTTTAGCTTCTCGTGCTGATCAAGCGCCCGCTGGCGATTATCGTCGCGACGTCCGGTTATATTCTCCGCTCGCTTGCCAATCTTTTCCGCATCGAAGTGCTCCTTCTCCACAAGGGTGTCGGCCACCTGGAGCAGCGTATTGATCTTATCATCGTTGGCCTCCATGGTGGTGAGGAAGGCTTCATGACGTTTCAATTGATTCTCGGCCTGTTCTAGATTAACCGGCGTGTCGTCCTTGCTTAGGAAATGCTCCTGCTGGCTGAGCAGCACCTCGGTCTGGCGAGCATCCCGATTGAA